TACATGTAAAAAAAAAAATAAGGAGCGAATGTGCGGTGTACCGGGTTTTCTAGCAGCACCCCCACTGTAGGCCCTGTCAACTTTTGCAGCCCACTCTCCGTCGACAAAAAAAAAAGTGAGATTTCCAGCTGTGGCAATTGGAGCGTAATCTCGTGAGTACCGTGCCGCTTCTTATGGTAAAATAGTACCACACTCTATTTGGTGCAAGAGTCTCGCTCAAGTTATAAGCTGCATGGAACTCCAGAGAAGAATCATCTTCATTATGCACCATTCTCCATAAAACAAGAAAGCCCAACAAGACTCTCCAACCATTAGGCGTTAAATGTCCCGAAGTTAAGGAAAAGTAATGAAGAATGTGACAAATGGGAGAAGACGTGGGGAATTTGAGCCCAGCCTCCAGCATCTCCTCATAAATGACAATATCACCAGAGGAATCGTCGCAAGCGAGCTCACCTATCTTAGCCCGGCGACACAGCACGGTTGGAGGAATACGATAAGTGAAAACGAGCCTCAAAATATCTTCATCTGATTTGAAAAAACAGAAAAGAGTATTTACCTTGGACCCATCATCATCAAGTACCACTTTGCCTTTGCGTTTCTTACTACGGGAGTGCAAGGAATGGCCTGAGCCACCACCTAAGAGGTCTTAAGGAATGTGGGTTTGAGAAGTTCCACTTGAAGGAGTCGCATCTAGAGAGGTGTCTGACTCCCTCTGCTCGCCCAAATAGGGCAGCCCAGCTAGCTCATGGAGAGGTGTCTAACCCCCTATGCTCGTCCAAACCGAGCAACCCAGCACCTAGAGAAGTGTCTGACCCCCTCTATTCGCCAAAAGGGGTAGCCCAGTGTTGTTTGGCCCCCCAAAGTTGCACAAATCAACACCTCTAGCGCCCAAATTAGAACCAATGGCGCCTAGATCAACGCCTGAAGTGGTGTCCAGATCAATGCCTATAGTGTTTTCTGTGTCTAGGAGGCCCAGGTTGGTGCCCAGGCTGTTGCCCAGCTCGCCTGCTGACCTGGGAAACCCCCTTTCTAGCCTACACGCCCCTCACGCTGCTGTCCAAGACAACATTTTCAATGCCCAAACTATCCAGGACAACACCTTCAACACCCAGGTGGTCCAGCCTAGTAGTCATGACGCCCAGACAGCCCTCTGCACTCCTCCTTAAGTGAGACAGCTCCTCAAAATTGCCCTAACCAGCGCCTATAGTGGCGCCCAGTTTAGCGCCTAAGGTGGCGCCCACCACCTCCCTTCCTTTTATCTCCACCATTTCAATGAAATTTTGCACATCTCTCTCCTCAATCGACATTGCCCATTTGGATATTCCACTCAAAAGGAAGATATATATATATATATATAT